CGGGAGGATCGGAAGAAATGAATAAGGCTGAGAAAATGGATCAGTAGTCATGTAATGATTTAAGCTAGCATTTGAATATTCTTAATACAATGTGAGATAGTGTACAAGCCTGTCTATATTGTTCTGGTAACCAACGTCCATTCGTCTGCACATTCTGCACAACTAGACGTTATGCCAACGACGCAATTCTTTTTGATTAATTAGTACAACAATACATAGTTGGTTTTTGTTCTTAACACTAAACTTGTTTTAATTATTGTTGTATATGAAAAATGGGTGCAATATCATTGCTTTGGGATCTGATGGCAATTTTCTGTTGATATCATATTGTATGTTTCATTCAGAGGAGACATATGTCTCATAATTTTCAGATGATTGTTTTTGCATTCGATAGAGGAGATGCTTATGTACGCTATAGACAGAAGATTTTATCAAAGGTTTTTGTCTCTAGGTGTCATAATTAATTTTAAAATTAATTTTAAAATTAATTTAGCCCATATATGCATAAGAATAGCCCAGACATATTTGTCCTCTGGCCGGAAGGCCCCCAACACACTAAACAGCGCAAATGTATTGGGTAAAACCAAAAACACAAACGACTCTAAAACTTGACCAGAGGGTAACCAAGGGTGGGGAATCCGAATTCGATATCAGAAATGAGTTATTAATTATTATTAGTTAATAAATCAGTTATTGAAAAATGAATTTCCGGATAAGGGTTGACCAAAGGGGATCGAGGGTGCTGAGCTCAAATCCAGTGTCACAAATGAGTTATATACATAAGAATAGCCCAGATCTATCTGTCTGTCCATCTGTCCGGAACGCTCCCAAGACACTAAACAGCGCCATCTATTGGTTAAAACCCAAAAAAACAGTTTTTAATTAAAGTGGTAATAAAAGAAATGTTGAGCAATCTCGGGTCATCCATTTTCTTTGAAGCAATTTATTATCTGCAAAAATTCACTAAAGTTTTTACAACATATATAAACGCTGGGCGTCCGTGGTTTTCCACGGGTTATTTCTAGTAAAATATATTCAAATTAATATCGTACATAGTGTGAAGTCAGTATGATAGCTTATCCACTGGAATAATGAGCTAATTTTCACATATGTGATAGAGTCATCATCATCATCATCAGTCGACTGCAAACAACTTTGGCTTACAGGCGTCAACAATCTTGGCCCAGTTTTCCCTGTTGTTTGCAGCTGCTCGTAACTCGTCGACCGATAGAGTGATAGAGTTCAGCAGTCTGAAGAACTTTGTCACTTGGTCTAATACTAAATTCGTTTCTAAGAGTCGGTAAAGGTTTGTCTCTGACCATTCCGTGTATTTCAGTGGTGCCTGTATTTACCCCGAAGAAATTACACGAGTGCCTCTATTTACCCCAAAGCATAAAAAGAAAAAAAAAGAAAAATGCTAGTGCTGTTGATTATATGCTAATTAGCTTAATGAGTTTATATGATAATGAGCTCAAAACTATATGGTAGAGAGAGGAAGATCTGGGCTACAAAATGAGGTATTTTTGAACTAATTATCTCCTAAGCTTAATTAACCAGCAATTGTACATTAAAACTCCATGTATTTGAATGGAGTGCCTCTATTTACCCCAAGCGTATAAGTGAAGTGCCTCTAATTACCCCGCACGGGGTAATTAGAGGTACTTTGATGGAGCTCGTCGCATTTTGGATCTGGCCCAAAATTGGCCGAAGTTTTTGAAAAGATTTTTACATGAGCGTGTAGAAAAATGTTTGGTCTGCCATCATGTTCAGCAGCAACTTTTCCGATCAAAAACGGCCAAGAAATAGCAAAAAAAGAACAAAATTTCGAAGAGTGCCTCTAATTACCCCGAAGTACTCTAATAGATTACCACTCCAAGTAATGGAACAGCACGCAAATCTTTTACCCAGATCAGAAAAATTTTTTGGTCATGTCAAGTCATGGAAAAGTATCCGTTCAATTCGACTCATATATGTAACATCCAATTAAAACAAAACGAGTGATATGTACGATAATGCATGTTGAACCCAAAAATAATTAATAAATTTGGTATCAGATTATACTCATCCCATTGTCGAATGCAATAGGTTTTAACTGCTTAGACTTCAAACGAACTTGATAGAAAAATTTCCAAGTCGAAGTCCCTAAATAAAAGCTTCAAGTCCGAACTTGGACTTGTCCATCTCTGCGATTAGATATTGACAATTCATATGAGTTATATTAATTCTTCTATTCAATTCTTTTGAAAAACTCGATTGACTAGAATAGGCCTTCATCATTGTTGATCATGTTCTTAGCTGAGACGATAGTTTTTCAATTAAAGACAAATAAAAAACTGCTTGATCGAGGACAGACGAACATCGCGTAGGAGCATCGATTCTCTGTGCAAATGCTTTGTTCATCGCATTTACTATCTCAATCCTATTGGTACCAGACAGACACTCGTGAATATGAAGAAAAATAGCGACAAAACAGCATAAATAAAATTTCTTCCGTCATTTAATTATAATGTCTTGGAAAATAAAGGAGAACTATATCCACAATGACGGATATATCTAATTGTTTTGTGATTATTAATAAAACTGAACAAAAGGTCGCAGACAAGCATTTATATAAACCACATATCGTCGGTAACTTTTGGATCTAGTATCATTAGTTTAGTTTTAATATCTTCCATTGAATAACTCTCAGGTTCTTCGTCTTTATCATCATCATCAATGCTAAAAGTATAAACCAATAAATCAGTTTTGAAAATAATAATGCAACACTTCATACTTGTCTGATTCACGATCATCATCGAATTTCAGTGCACGAGATCCATACGCTGCTAGATGAGCATAATGAACGGGAGATGGAATCGAGACTGATTTATCAGTATGACATAACTTAAGATAGATATCATCTTTAATCATTGAATTTATTCAAATTTCAACTTACCCAATAGGTTAGTTGTTGAACGTCATCACTACTAAAGCCAATATCATCATGAAGAACATGATAAAGAGTCGGTCGTGATGTACCCATTCTAGAATAGTCAACAATCCATTAGTTAGAGAAGAAAAAGAAGGAAACGAACACAATTACATGGCTGCTTGTGAACAAAGATAAAAATCGAATTGAGATGGATGAGTAATATCCTGATCGATCACAGTACCCGCTTGAACATTCATCGTCTGTTTACCATCACAGAGAAAGAAACGCGTATTATGACGTTTCTTCACAATAATAAACGTTAATTTTGGCAACTGACGCTCATCACACACAACTGATATGTAGAAATCGATATATTTATGAAATATTTGTTGTTTTTCGAGGACTTACCTCGACAAGCGTTCTTGATTTTGTTCACTTCATTATCAAGTACCTTCTGATATTGTCCTTCGTCTACACCATCTCGATAAAAGACAATTTTGTTTGGAAGACGATCACCACATGTGCGTGCGAATACTCGAAGCAAATCAGCAACCATTTGATCCAGTTCTTTGATAATTTCCATCGAACAACGACCCTTTTTGGATATTCTAAAAAAAAAGATCCATGATGACAGTGAGGAAATCATCGAAAACTTACGTTCACAAAGCCGAGCAGCATAGAGAGTATTAGTTGGATCACGTGAGGCAACTACTGCTGCGATTGATGGACGATCTGTGGAACAAGTCGAATGAGTTACCTAAAAGAGAAATCCTTGCACTTCACTATTCTATTCGGTTCAAATTTTCTAGAGCAGTATTTTTGTTCGACTAATCCTATAAATATGAAGACTTACATCAGCTCCAAAGAACATAAAAAGATCCGACTTAAAGCAAATTTCGTATTGACAACACTATTGATGCCACCCAGTTTACTATTGATCTTCTGACTCAAGTTATCCACATCTAAAAAGATATCGAATACACTATATATAACTTATATAAATTCTTTCATGTTGAAAAATGTTGGAAAAGTATATATGAGTTATATAAAAGATGTTCGTTCGTGTGAATAAATATAGGAACGAACACACTGGTTTCGTATAAATAAAATTCTGTGTCGCTATAGCTAACTGATTATTATTGCGCACTAATTTTGATTTATTTTTTACTGACCAGATAGCTGATTTTCTGACCAGATTACTGAATTTTTCTGGCCAGTCACTGATTTCCTGACCAGATTCTGACAAAATTCCAGACCAGGAACTGGAAAAAAATCCTAGAAACCAGGTACTGATTTGTGATAAGACTAGTCACTGGTTTCGTGGCCAGGATCCTGATTTGCCTGACCAGGTCATCTGATCGTTCACTAGGGTAGGTATCTAGCGGTAAGTATTATTACGCAGAATACTCTAAAGCAAAGACAGATGACTGATACACCGAAGTGTCGACGGTCTGAATAGGATGGACGTTAATCGCAGCATCGGTTTTAATCATACTAAAAGAGAGAGAGAACGCTCCTTCGGATTAGAGGCAGTTTATAGTGCGATGTTAATCAGAGTTATGCACCTTCTTTCTGACCAGATATTCTATTTATTTTCATCTCATTCTTAGCGAACGAACTGTTCTTTTGATGTCATTCTTCCGTTGAACGTATCTTTCGACAGGAGTAGGCGCTAAGAAGTGTTAGAGAGTGGACTGTGTCTCACGATTTGTGTGTTCATTTCAATTTGTCGCCACGTGATCCCAGAAACAGTCCTCGCTTTATCGCTATCCATAGTTTACTACGTGATCATTTTAATGCACTTTTGTCCTTTTCTTTCATTGTTATAGATATTTATGGCGGACTGCAATAACTTATAGTCTATCGTATTAATTTAAGCTTCATCGACTGCCAGTCATAGAACTACGCGGTAGAGTTTTGTAATATCATGCAGTGTATGATTGTATTGCCTGTTTAGAATGAATTTGCCTAATTGATGTCAGCTGAAGCTAAGGGTCTGCATTATTATCTTGATAGATAGATTGTAATATTTTATCCATACATTACTAAGCCAGAAAACGGTTTATGTATCCTACGCGAAAGTGAGTTTGATCATAGAATTAGTGGAGAGCTAAAAGACAAAATGCTCCGTACTGTATTATATTCGTTAAGATCGGTCATAAATAGTTAATGAAGTTTAAATAGCATCGTTTGAATTGATAATCTTTTTTCCTGCATGTGCTTTAATCATCCCACGGTCGATAATCCAAATTATGAATTTTAATTGTTTAATAACGATTAATCGCGTTTAAATAAATATAATAGATCACACGCTATAACACGATTCTACAGATATCTAGCCGAAAGCTAGACCCAATTTAATTAGAGAACCCGTTATTCATTTTAACTTAGATACAAAGTTCTATAACTATCCTTATCTTGTAGGTCTGGTATGAAATACTCAAAATACTTAGAGGTGAAGCAAAGTTTCTGTAATGCAAAAGTATGGCCTTATGAATTTCATCGGTTTCTGTCAAGTTCACTGGTGCAAGTTCATTTTATCATTTTGGTAAATCAATTTTTGTTCAAATATCAATAGGTGCCATACTAGAAAGTAGAATTGGGTCAAAAAAACATTTTTTATTTATTTAATATCACATGTTGGAAGTGACTACTTTCGTCGAGTAGTGACAACCGAGTATTTTCTCAAATGTTCCATCAAAGACCAATCGTTGGAAACAAACTGAAAAGTTTGTTAACTACGAAGTAAAATCGTTTGAAAATCGGACAAGTAACGCGGTGAGTTGTGACACACGACAACACAATACTAAAACCAAGAATACCGAATACACCAGTTACACAAGTTTATATAGGCGAAGAAAATGTTGCACAATCAGTTTGAAATAGAAACTCAAGTATCACGATACAAAGGTATTCTTTTTCTCCTTTCTGACTTTCATTTGATGGTGCAATACTCGTCGTATAGAAGAAGAATAAATGTACTTTCACCTCAGTTACATAAATGTGCACGTCTTAACTAACAACAACAAAATGAAATGAAAATATAGATCGTTTGAGAATATAGGTCTCTAATACTAGTTTACAATTTAGGGCACTTGTGCTGAGGTTAGTCTTTTCGATTCAAATATAAGGAATAATAGTTTTGGATACTCATTTTCTGGGACGTGAAGTGTAAAAGGAGAGAGAAAGTAAATATTTATCTGAGAAAATCTAGAACTCTTTCTCAATGCAGAAGTATGTTCAGATTTTCCCGTTATTCGGGAAATGATTTCTCCATAATCTGGAAAAGAAAAAATGTTTCTATCAGACTGACTCTGATTTGAAAATATTCTAGCTGTAGCTGAAAGGTTTGAAGACACAATAAAAAAGTACTTTTATATCTGAAAATTTCATCAGCTCAAAATCGAAGATTGTGGAGAGAAGTAGAACATACCAAGAGCATCATTGGATCTGTAGCTAAAAACTCTGCTTGAATGGATAAGAAGTTTCATGGAAATTAAGTTCTTGTGCTGTGTTCCGCTTCAAGGGAAAAATGATCGAAATTGTGAGTTACGTGCATAATAACTGAAAAATTCTTCCTTATGATCCATCTTCAGTTTGCTACGACTAATTGGGAAAAGCTTTAACCCCTCCCCCCAAAAAAATAGACGGCCACCCTATATTAGAAGGCCACCCCCTGTATAAGGCCATGTTCGGACAAAAGTTCAAACGCCCTATTAGAAGGCTATGGCCTTATGGCCTTCTAATAGGTTTGTCTACATGAATGAATGAGAAAGATAGACAAAATAGTAAAAAATCGAAAAAGTAAACGTCGTCTTGTTACATATTGTCCTCGACCATACATACATAGAAAAAAATTAGTCTCTAATGCGAAAAAAAATTGTCTCTACTATGAAAAAAATAAATAAGAATGAAACATAGGACATTCTAAATTTCAGACGTATTAGAAGGTCACCCTAATTAGAAGGCCATGGAAAAAGTAATGATGTGCCGAGACACTGTATAAGGGCATGACCTTTTGTTCTGGGGGGTGCGATTATGAGTAAACCCAGGAGGTTCTTAGGAAAACTGCTTAAAAATTATTTATATAACAAGATGAGACGATTACAGATAAACTCTGGACTAATGTTATATTTTCTTCTTGGTCTAACAAAACCTCTACTTCTTTCTTTCACAAATGATACGAAGAAGTGAAGGTTACAAATTGCATAGCAACCTGTTGATCAAATTGTCGAGCAACTGAACACAATTTTGTGTCTAAAAAACTGGAAAAGAAAATGTTTATGAATGCTCAAAATATAAAATGATGCATAATGACTAGTCTTTCATCAGGATTCAAACTTCTTTTCAAATCAGATAATAAAGTTATCGCTTTTGCAATGATAAAAGAATGCGACGTAACAAGTATCTCTTAGATGGCGTAAAAATGTATACATACTTCTCCATCCAAAAACAGTTGTACACTTTCCTAAATAAATATTTAACTTCTCTCTGCTTTCCATTTAACTTCGCGGAAAATTCGAACTCCGCTTGAATTTTTACTGTTATATAAAAGTTACCGGTTTATGCTTTCTGCAGCCAAGATGATCAGTAATTTGAGAACTGGAAGAGACAAAGGCATCTTTTGAAACGGAGTTCGTGATAAATACGCCAATAGTGTTTGATTAAACTCAAATTAAAAGACGGAATGCACAGAGGCTCATTTTTTGGGTTAATTTGCGGTTATTGTTCTTTGCATCCAGAAAGACTGAACCGTAATAAATGTTCATCATTTTCTTTTGTCTCCGCAAGTTCAGGTAACAATGGTCGTATGTAGAATGAAAGCTAAGCGACCTCTTATTTTTGTGTGGTTTGGGCGTAGCATCGGATTTCTTGGAATCGATATTTCTTTAGAAGTGGTAATCCCGTAAATAAATAGAAACATAGTTGATCTATCACGCTGAATTTCCTGGTAACGTGTGTTTGTTGAAGAAGTTTTAAAAACCTGTATTAGGTTGCATAACTCATTTTTGGCTATTTTCAGGTAAAATTTTAGATTAAATTAGATTCTAATTTCAAATACACTATAATGGAAAGGCCGAAGAAGTGTATCGTATGTATGATATCTATAGGGGATACTGGCTCATTATATCACGTTATTAGATCGACAGCAATCAACGGACGGGTGAACTGGGTCTGAGAAAAATGAAATCGCCCTCCTGGCCAGTCAGTCATAGACATTCCGGAAGAGCGAAGGATACTCTGTTTACGAAACATTTTTCGCGTCCTGCAAGAAACTGCGATTGTGGTAAAAATAAAACGCAGGAAACGCACGTTGCCATGGAAACAAAGGCTTTACATGTGTGTTCCTGCGCTTTATTTTATCACACTCGCAGTTTCTTGTGGGTTATTATTTGAAACTCGCTAAACGCGAAAAAGTTTTCGTAAACAGAGTTTCCTGCGCTTTTCCGGAATGACTATGACTGACAGGGTGGCGTTGAGTGGGACACTTTCTTGAATCAGGCAGGAAAAATGGCGGCGTCTCCGAGAACAGAGTAGTTGCGAGACTTCCAAGTGAATGAGCCGGAATAGGATGTGGTTCATCGCATCCGTGCTGATCGAAGAGTTCCGCATCTTTACATTGATTCTAGAGTTATCTGATGAACTCTGAAGTTTCGAATACGAAAGATGATGGAAGAATGAATTCCATAAGAAAGAGAAAACAAAGCAATCATTCAGATGAAGAAGAGGCGCAAAAGGATGCTCATATGCAGAAGACGTTGAATTGGAATGACACTGGTGAAGGACGATTTCAGCCTAGAAAGGCACCGCAAATAAATTTTGGAGTGTACTCGTCCCCTGGGAAAAGAAAGACAAATGAAGACAGATACATTTCCAAATACCTGAATGAATGCACAGTCTGGTTATTCGGTGTATTTGACGGTCACGGTGGCGAGGTACGTGTACGTTTTGCAAATGATTTCATGCACGTAATGAGAACTCTATTTGCAGTTTGTTGCAGATTTTCTCCAGAGGCAACTTGCAAATTATTTTACAAGAGCATACCTTAGCGAGCATGCGTCATCAAACATGATAGATAAGATTGGACAAGCGCTTACTGATGCATTCATGATTACTGATAAATACCTTTTTGATGATCCTCGTGCGTGGACTACGGGAAGCACAGCAGTTGTTGCTGCTCTATCATTTCTGTCATCAGATCCTCGTATTGTGGTGGTGGCAAATACAGGCGATTCAAGAGCTGTGATAATGACAGCAACTAAGGCGGATCCGGTCTCAACAGATCATAAGGCAACATTGGAACGAGAACGAAAGCGAATTATTCAGCAGGGCGGACAGATTTTGTCTGCTGAAGATGGAATAAGAGTTTACCCATCTGGATTGGCAATCACAAGAGCTCTCGGAGATGTCAAATATAAGAACATCATTGAGGGAAAGCCAGAGATCATGGCAGGCGAGTTATCAAATGACGATGAAATACTCTTATTGGCAACAGATGGCTTTTGGGATGTATTCAAGAACCAACAAGCTTTTGATTGGGTCTCGACATGGATGAAGTCAAACAAAGAGAGTAGTATGGACATTCTAGCACATGCGCTGGTTGAGGAGGCGATCAATAGGGGTAGCGAAGATAATGTGACTGTGATTGCTGTTGAGTTGAACAGCATTAAGCCAGCACGTGAGTTTATTTTATCTGTCCACCTTCTCGTGCTGTTCATCCGATAAAAGTATTCAGCAAGTTTGACCGTTCAATGACCTTATATTATTAGTTGTAAATAATGATACCAAAACGTTTTATCTATCAATTATACATTCTCTTATTCATGGCCTGATGGCCAATGAATACATGCTTTGCCGTTTCTTATGACGATGTATATTTAACTCATTGTCATAAATGAGGCTATCCTCAAATTATACTTCACATCTTTTCAACGATATGAAAATGAACAACCAATCTTTTTCGTCCTGTTTAATAAAGCTCCTCTTGTAGGATTGTGTTATAAAACAAGATTACACTTATTTCGGTCTCTCTTTATTCTACTAGTAACATCAAGTAAACAAACAAAAGAACACTTCCTTTATCAATAATTACTCTGCGCTGAATTTTCACCTTTCTTAGTTACCATTTGTTTAATCGTAAACATTTTCATTCTCTTTCTTACCAGTGAGGCAGACTAATTGTTAGTATGCAGCGATGTGTTTTAGTAAAAATCTGCTTAAAGATTGGAACGAGAACCAGCCGGAGTTAGAACTAAATTTTACACTTTATTATTTTTATCACAATGAACACATAGCACCTGTCATATAAACTCGTATTTTTCTTGATGGTAGACGAACCAATTTTCTATTTTCGGCGTTTTTTGCCCTATAAAGTCTAGCCTTTCACTGTTTCTTTTCTTTTAGAGCCATTTATGGAAGAAATTGTATAGTCCACGAAATAGATTATGTAATGGAAGAAAACTTTTTAAAAAAAAAAACGACAAGATGTATTTGTTTTTGTTTTTAGAGAACAACAATAACAAGAAATGGAATCATCTGAGACAATCTCATATCTTTATCTCTATAAAGTTATATTGGATAGATTTCTTTGTTTTACGTTTTTGTCTTCATTTTAACTTTCATATCAAAGAAGTTTTGGTAAATATGATGTATTCTGCTTCGAAACGGCTAATCATATGCTTAACAATTTTCCAAAAAAATCTAGCATTAAATTAATCAGGTAAATGGATTGAGACAATTGCTCCACTTTAAAAGCCAAGATCAATGCTTACAAATTCTAGTTCAGGATGGTCCATTTTTTAATTCTTTTAGAAAGTAATTGTTTATTGAATTGAAGTTAGTGTTTCATTCAAATTAACGCTCTAATATCATCAAATAACGGTCTTATTGATAAAGTATCTGTCGAGCAATACACGTTACTCTTATACACTATTTTTATACACATTCGTTTTAGAAGTAACGTTCAACTTCGATTCCCCTGACCCTTCTCTAGAAAGCCCTTTAAAGTCAAACTTTATCCAAAGACTTTTCTAACCACACGATTCGATAGAGCGTACAAAATGAGATGTTTTACAAATTCTTAACGCTTGGGATGACTGAACCAAAGGCCTTACAAATGTACATGTGTGAAATTCCTGTTTTCAGTTTCTAACCGGGTAGTTGTCGGCATTTTTCGTATTTTTAATGCCAGTTTTGAACGATAGATCCTAGAAATGTCGGCAATATGTCATTTTGTTCAGAATTGAACGATCGATTGAATCATATGGTTAGAAAAGTCTTTGGATAAAGTTTGACTTTTCAATTTTGGAGCGGGATGAGACCCGGTGTGAACTTCACACGATGAGTCAAAATAGGTCGGAAAAGGCAAAATTTCACTACTTTTGCTGAGAGATAGAATGACTAATCAGTTAGTTATTCATGTGATTTTTAGATTAATTCATTTTCTGTCTAATGACGAACAACACTGATAATTATGAAAAGTTTAGACGCTTATTTAGTATGCACATCCAAAAATGAATCAAAATGTAAGCGCAACTATTTGGATGTTAGTATAGTGATGAACTGTGCTTATTCATACGGTTTTTAGATTGTATTTAAAAATTTAAATGTTGAATGGAATCAAATTAAAAAAATGCTAATTTAATTAAAGAAAAAATTGGAGAATACCAATGTAATCGTAAAGTAAAGACACTTAGTCTTGATCAATTTTGGGCTAATAATAAACAAAAAAATTTAATGTACAACTAAATATGATATGATTTTTCGTGAATAGTCTTAGATAATGAATAGCAGAAAAATTGACACCGCGTATATTTTATGTATCAACACGTTTCGTACCTTATTTAGTACATCATCAGTCGAAAGACTTTTACAAATGACACATAGTATAGAATAAAAGCAGAGTTGGGCAAAATACTCGAAGTACTCGTACTCGAGTACCGTTTTGGTCGTACTCGTACTCGAGAAATCCCATACTTGCCCATCTCTGAATAAAATGAATTGAAATAAAACAAGAACACAGAACGACAAAACTTTTGCTGCATAGACTAGTTCAACAGCCAAAATTTTTATAAGAAAAATGTGTCTATTTTTCTCGATACATAAAATGTACGCGGTGTCAATTTTTCTGCTCTTCATTATTAGATGCTTTCAGCGTACACGTTTCCACAACTGTAACTTTTAACTTTTTTCGATAGTTTTAGTCTTCTACATATTTACCTTTCGATACTGTTCTCTTCGACATATTTATCTTTCGATATATTTACTTTCGACATTTTTACGTTTCTCTATTTTTACTTTCGATATTTTTATCTTTGGCTATTTTTATATTTCGCTATTTTTCCTTTCGATATTTATGTTTCGATCAAAGTGTAGGGAATCGTGGACTAGTATATTCTCAAAGTTTTGATCGTATTGGTTCAAAAAGTCGATCGTATTCTATTTTTAATTTTTCTCTCAGTGTAGCGTTCTTTTAGAACTTTCCATACAAAAGGCTTTGCAATCAAAGAGGCTTTAGTATGATATGTAATGCATCTTTTCAAACTGATACTCTCACAAAGCTATTGATCAAACATTATCAATGACTGATTATACTAACTCCATCAAATATTATGAAACATATTTAGCTTCGTCTGCATACTTATACCAGTTGTTGCTCAGAAAAATGTAGAAGCAAATCATGATACATAAAATGTACTACAAAACTTTAGGACAGCCGTACTCTGGACGTTTTTCCTCAACCGCAATAGCTAGGTTAAAGCTTGAGAAAGAATCGAGTGGCTCAAAGAGTTTCCAATCAATACAGGTCTGTGAGGTAATACTACCGAAACCGTTTGAAATAGGGTCTGTAGGAAAACCAAGACCAAGTATCCGAATATGGCTCGTAAAGCTTTTGCGAACAACTTCTTTTTGTAAAAAGTTTTTTTCCGCAAAATGAAATATATATGATCAATCCATGGCGTTTCTTCGTGTAAATGCACTCATTTTATGAAAAGTTTCATAGCATCAAACAGCAATATAATCGTAATTTTTGAAAAAGAACAGAAAATGTTAGATTTTTCATAAAATCTGCAATCAAATTTCAATTCATTGAAGAGTCGTACGACTACATCAAATTAGTCAGTCGAATTATATGCGGAGAGAACAAGAATAAAATGACGGCGCTTCGGTCGAATCGTTGAATGTTGGATACCAGACTTACATTATATAAAAACAAGTAAAACAGATTGAATCAAAAACAAACACCAGCAATAAGATGATGACAAATCTAATAATCTAGATTGAACACAGACAAAAAGCTGATTTAGTATTTTTCATATGTAGAATAAGACATCGTACTCGCCACGATTACCAACAGACAAGGAAAACATATAGCCAAACAGTTGACTCGAACAAAGAATGGATAGTAAACTTCAAAAGACCTATGCAAATATAAAATCCTAATTTATATTTTAAAAATATAGTAATGCTATCACTTACAAAACAGGAAAGTAGCCAAACAAACACAAAAACGCAACAGACAATGGAAAATCAATTATGAACAAACCTACATATATAACAGAACACTCATCATGCAAAGATTTTGCAAAATATGTACCCATATGCAATACGTACAAAGTAAGAAAACCAGAGATTGAAATGAATGATGGAGAAAAAGAAATATTTATTAATCCTAAAATAAGGAACAAATAATTCGAATTCTTGATCTTATTCGAAGATGGTAATAGACACTCACAAAATATGACTGAATGAGAAAACCAAAGAGAAACAAATAAAACAAACAGTAATAAATAAATAAATAGATAAATGAAAGTCAACTTGAAAATAAATTGAATAAGATACCAATAGTTTAATTTCAACCGTCGGTCAAGTTCACTTACAAAAATAACCAACAATAAACGACAAATAAATCGAGTAAGCACGATGTATCTATTAGCTAAAAACACAATAATCATTTAATCATTTCATGTTCAAAAGCTGGTATACCGACATTTAGGCGCAATGACACTTCGTCTACAAAATTCATGTTCCTATACACATTTAGATCGGTAAATTTATCTTTCATGATATAAACCAGTGATTAACCGACAGTTGAGCACTGAGACTTGAGCGATGCGGACAGTTGGTCGCTGGGACGGGTGAGGGTGAGTTCTTACACGCTACCAAGTTTGTTTAAAATAAAATTTTGTCGTTATGCATTAGTTTTGTAATGCATGAACTATTACTAAATGCTTGGGTCTACACTGAAAGTAAACGGACACATTATTCTCATCTACAGTAAACTACAGAGTACCTTACACTCCACAAAGCTCCTACTTTTAAGCTATACAGCACCCTCACTCTTGCTACACTTATTATACTACAGTTTTCTTCTATACTTGCAGAAAAACTTCAGGTTTTTTAATGACTGATTAGATGGTTCTGTTATCCTCAGCATCCACAACCTAATTCATTGTGAACCCTCTAAAATATTCCCAAAGGAAACCAAAAAAACTCTGTTCTACAATGATAAGAGTTTCTATATGGGCGATCAGATGGTGAACGAATACACTTGTACCCAAATGTTGTTGCGTCCAAGTGTCGTGCGCCCAAATGTCTGGTAATCTCAAAAGCTATATGTATATACGTACAAAGAACTAGCCACAAACAGAATATCACGTATGCGCACAAATGTAATTGATAACACGCTAAATAACGAAATCTTAAACGAAATGTAATTGAAAAACATATTTTTCTGTTTTGCACATCTTCAGCCATAGGCGGCGCAAGTTAAAGTTCCTAGGGGTAGCAATAAATTTTTTAAACTCATAATTTTAATAAATAATAATAATAAATTTTCTATTTCAAAACCTATAGTTCTTCTAACAACTCCCAGAATATGTGTTATTAGGGGTAGCAATAACTCTATTGCTACCCCTAATTTTCTATAGGGGTAGCAATTGCTACCCCTCGCTACTATGGCGCGCCGCCTATGTCTTCAGCTACTTTTCTCTCTCCAACCAGCTAAGTGCTGATGAATTGTATTCTGTTGCAAGAATCTCTTGATCCCTCTGATGGTTAACTTAATACAATCCTTCTTAAACTAAGATTAGTATTGTAGAAGAGTTTACAAATATATTGTTGTTCCATTATCTCTTTTAAAGAGAACTGTACGTAGTGAAAAAAACAAATATCATCATAAAAAAGCAGTAATCATTTTTTAGTCAAAATCATTCATTTTGTCACTAAAATCCAGTTTTCACCCATTTTTTGGTACTCTTTATTTTATCACGAAGGTGTTTTAGGAAAGTACTGCATCTTCTTTTAGAATGCTTCACAACTCATCATTAATTTTGTTCTTTTGATCAGATTCATCATGTCACCTTCTGGATCAAAACTGCGCTTCAAACCACAGTTTCATATTACAACAACATCGTTGTCCTAAATATAACATAAACGACTATAGGATTAGTTTTAAATGTTGTTTGTTATACTGTTGATCTTAAACATATACATACGATTCATTAGTGACTAGTTGAGAGTTTTATCGATGCTCAACAGATATAATACATACACATAAGAGATAGAAAAAAGAAAAGAAGAACGTGAAAACTCGTTAACAGCATCCTTTGAGTTCAAGTTCATGATTATATAAGAAAGGATCTTCTTTTTTCTCCTGTGTGAGATTTTGTATAAAAAAGCAACTAAAGCAAGAACTACAATGTTTGAATAGCTCACAATGGAAGAATTATTGAGTTCAAGCTTGATGTTTGAGCAGTATACAAAAGTTCATACTAGTAACTTAACACTTTTATGCTAGAACATAGACCATGCCGTAAATTCTAATTATGTGCTGCTCAAATTAACGATTATCAAGTTAAGCAATTTTCTAAATGTTTCTAAATACAAAACTCATTGAAAGAATGTGTGTAGAAAATTCTGTAAAGCGAAAAGTGAAATGTTACGCACAAGTGTCGATAGAGGAAAAGGACTTTAAAATTTGTATTTAGCTCTAGGTTCATGTCTTCATTATATTGACACTGTCAGATCGTATAACTGCTTGTTGAATTTCTATAATTTGAGTATTTTGGTGGCTCTTGTGACTACTGCCCATGAGGTTTTTTTGATACAAAATAACGCTGAAAAACGCGTTTCTCAGCGTTAAAGGATTACAATTTAACGATAAAAGTGCGAAGCGTTGTTATAGATCACAGATTCTATCCCGTTGTACGGCATTAAATGGTTCAAATAGCGTGCTTTAACGGAATATTTTATTTTCTACGTTGTAACACGTTAATTCATCGTAACTAGCGCGTTATCTAACGTACTTTAACGAGACAAATGTCGTAAAACAAAGAAGGGAAATTAGGAAAATCCCTTGTATGAAATTAAAGAAATATTGCTTAATAACGAGATAAGAACAGCAACGAGGTTAGATGAAAATTGTTCGCAAAATCCGTTCTAGTTTGTGTTTCAAAAGTATGACAGCATCGCGGCAGGATTATATTAAGATCGCATCTAAATCGTGACAAGATCTTGAGGAGATTTTGTCTTTGCCCACTGTTAAAGAAAACTTCTGACTTCGTTTAGATATTTTCTTGAAACAGAATGAAAACGAGAATGTAAATCCTCATTATATCATTCTGTTTCTTAAACTATCAAAGTACAAAATCAGTCCTTGTATGAAACTAGGTTTTCGTTGATTTCGTATTTTCATCTATCTCAGTCTGTAACCATGTAATGTTTTTTCATCCGTCGAAAGAAGAAGCAAAACAGACAGACAGTGTGCGTATATTATCGTCCACTGCGTTTATCTTTTGTGTTCTCTTTTAAAGTATATAACAGATATACAATATACAATTCAATTAGTCATTTCTTCACTTTTTAACGCAGTGCAAAAAGTGTTTTTCTGCCACAGTTTATTTAGTTTTGTTGTAATCGCACTAGGCTAACTACTTGACTATTGTCATCTGTAAGTACACAGCAAGTATCTAGAGAAGAAGAGCATTCGGAGGTGAGAAATTATTTTGTCTCAAAGTTGAGCAATTTTCTTCTTGATAGTTTTGGAATGGAAAAAGAGTATTCTTTCTCAGGCAATACATCAAATCTAAAGTCTTCTCCCATGTGTAGGTTCAGTTAAATATGTTAACCGTGTCGAGATCTCAGAATGAAAATGCACAACAGTGAGAGTAATGCATACAAGGTTGAGTTATCACAAATGGTTGAGTTATCACAAATTGTGAGTTACCGCTGTGTAAGTTGCTGTTTGAGCCTTTCAGAATGTAGCAACGATCATTTCGATCCTGTTTGACGTGCAGTTCTTTTTGAACGCGAACTGGTACCAGTTCTTTTCAAAAGAACGCGAACTGGTTACTAGTTCTTTTCAAAAATTCAAAGTAAAGTAAAATCGATATAGCTGGTTATATTCACTTGGTTTAGTCAACTAAACGCACCATCTACCTCTGGCGCACTAGACAAAGTCAATGTGACTAGGCTCACCGGTTTTATTTTACTTTTAATTTTTGAAAAGAACTGGTAAGCAGTTTGCGTTCTTTTGAAAAGAACTGGTTACCAGTTCAGTTCTTTTTGAACGCGAACTGGTATCAGTTTCCGTTCAAAAGAACTGAACTGGAACTGTCCCACCCCTACGCCCGATTACAGGCGAAATGTATCTAGATTTTTCCCATAGGTGATGTTTGCTTGGGTGCCTCTTCATTACGAAACGGTTAGCCAATTAATAAGAAATTCGAAGAAAAAAAAAGGATGTATCTCTAAATAACAGAACGAAAAAAAGACGAAAGAGAATAAAATGCAGTAATTTCCAAGTAAAAACCAGTTTTTGCTTATTTCTCAAACAGAAGACATTATACCTTATGGTCTCTATTACATTCTGCTTGAATAGAAACTCAGTTTGAATATAACACGAAAATATTCATTTGTCTTAGATCTAACTGGTATTACGATGGTGAGGATACTTCCATGCAGTTGTTTGTGTAGTCAGCTCGTAGAAGTTATTGTCAAAAAACATTACTGAAATCTAAGGGTTTAACCCTTACCTTCAATTCATCCTACTATTACTGAAAAAATAAAAGAGATGATCTCAATTAATTGTTTAAATAACAGTGACAGAAAAGCAGTCGAAACAGCTTGTTTTCACCAATCGAAAGTCAAGATTCGGTTGCATTTTTTCATAAAAGAATAAGTTGTGAAAATCTTTCTTTATACGTCTATAGGGCTATTCAAATTCACAGACAAATAGACGTTTGTATCAGAGGTGGGCGATGGACGAGGATCCTCGCGAGATCCCACGATTCCTCACGGGGCGGCTCCCGCGAGGAGGATTTTTTGAAACTTGACGAGGCACGGGCCGTGAAGAATGAAGAAACGAATCCGTTTGATATTATACAAGGCTTTGTATCATGTGAAACATGGGAAAATTTTATTGACGATGGACGAGGCGGCGACGGAACATAAAGCTTACGGGGCGATCCTCGCGAAGTAGATTTTTCGAAACTCGGCGAGGTACGGGGTGATGACGAGGCAAGAAGTTTGCGAGGCGATCCCCGCGATGGGGCTAAAGATGGTCCATCGCCCACCTCTGGTTTGCATGTTCTTGAAGAAGTTTCTTCATAAGTTTCTTCTTGAAAAACTTTCATTAGCAACAGGAGAAAGGTGTTGTTCTTATTGCAGTTGTTGAAGTAGTGATATATATGTTTTTAGCACGGACAAATACTGCCAATGTTTTCTTTTTTGATGAGATCTTCGTTGTTGATGGTATAAGCATAGTATCGGATTTTTAGCATTTTTCTCGTTTGAGCCACCATTCAATATTTTGTCGAGTTGTCGAACTGCGACACACTGAAAATAGAAAAATATTTGCCTTGATCCAAAAATACATTTGAAAATATCGGAAGACTCACCGGAAAATTCTGCATCTTCTCACATAGTTTTCGAAATTTTGCAGTTAAGTCTTCTAGGAAAATTTCTCTGTGCAAAAAACTGATAAATCTAAAACAACCTAACTTTTGAACCTATTTTTCACAAACTTTAGTTTTTTAACTATAAAAGCAGTAAAACGTTCTGAATCCAGGGTTTTAGTCTTATTATCTTACATAGAATTAAATTCTGCATCTTTTGATATATAAACAAAATTTCTCAATTAAAACCATTAATTAAAAAAATTAATTTAATTTGAGAAAATTGAAAAGCCGGTTGAGAACTAATAATGAGTCCAGTTGACGTAGGAGAAACATTGTATGAAGTTGTAAATGAGTGAGATCGATTGAGCATAAAATTCTCTATCTTTCTACATAGAAAAATTGAATATTGAACGTCGGACAATGGGCGAAAAATCTCAAAAAAAGAAGACGACAAAAGCACGTCGCAGTTCGACAACTCAGCGACGAACAACAAAATGCTAAACGAGAAAAATGCTATCAGAGATTTAAATACCAGATTTGCAGAGAATTTAAGTCTCTGTCGAATGAGACTAAAACCAGATTTTTAGGTCACTCGGAAGTGTTATTAGTTCTCCCAATCAGTTCTTCCCAAAACGCAACCAAAGACTGCCGGGTGACTTTTGGACCACCCTGTATTTCAAGCGCGCCCAGGTCAAAAAATCAGATCAAGAGCTTACAAGATCTTATAAAATCTTAAAAAAATTAATTAAAATCAAGAATCCTACGAAATCTGATGAAATCTCACTATAAGATTTTACATCATGAATCAGTTTCTATGTTTCTTACAGAATGTTACGAAATCAGACGAAATCGTACAAGAATCTTATAAGATCTTACAGTAAGATTCTTTGACATGGGCGTAAAACGACAACACTCGCTTTCGCCACATTTAACAAAATATCTCTCCCATTTTCATCAGTCTGTATACTATCTCGAAAAAGCATTCAAATGTATCCTATATAACTGTATCACTGAAGCAGTAAAAATCAACGTACAATTTATTTCAAATTGAGTTTAATTTTCTCTGAACTTAAGGGCTCCCCCCTCAGAAATTGTACTTTTCTGTCAAAAGATCGGTTTTGAGATAAGCACATGGAAAAATAGCCTGAAGTGTCTACTTTCAGAATCTGTATCGCTTTTGGTTACAGAATTGAGTTTTCGGGGAGTTTGAGCAAGTTTTCTAGGAGCCTCGGAAAATCGGGTCTGCAAATAATAGCTTTTTCCTGGATACTAATACAAATAAAATTTTTCTGAACACACAGATTTGTAGAGCAAACGTTTCTGATCAAAATAAGACCTCGCACAACTCTGTATGACCTTGTATCAAAAAGTTACAGGTATTTTCCTAGAAGTTCTAAAATTGAGTATTTCATACAGCGTTTTCTCTATATAAGAGTTACACCTGAAGTGCGTCCCTAGATTTTTAATAGCGGTTTGTCGTAGAGAGTTCATTCTTTTTTTGTTTAAAAGAGGAAAAGAAACTACATGGTCTGACAGGCGCCGATTTTTGAATTAGGTCTTAGTTTTTTGTCAAACTGAGGATTTTTAGAAAACCCGGAAGGCTTTTTCGGGTTTTTGAGGTTGTTGGTTGCCTGGAAAACCAGTAAAGGCTTAATTGAAAAATTGGCGCCTGTCAGACCATGTAGTTAGGTGTCTAGTTTAATATAAAACAAATCCGAACTCTCCAGCTTGAAGTATATTAAAAAATCTGGGGACGCACTTCAGGGTCCTTTTTGAACCTTGATCTCTGGAAAACTCCTGAACGGTAAGACTTGGAGACAAAAAATTTTGTTCATTCCCGTAACTCATTGTGCCTAACATTTGTGGAAAGTTTCGTCAAGATCGGATGTACGGTGTCGGAGATAATTTCTGAGGGGGGGGACCCTTAAGAGAAAATTCATAAAAATTAAAATAGAGTAGCGGTCGACTTTTGAAGAAAATTTTTCATATTTGTGTTCAGAGATTCTATAACCCGACGATAAATAAGTAATAGGGTATAAAAATCTGAATTTATGGCTAACTACAAACAAAGCATCGAATGAGATTGGTCAAATTGATAGTATTTTCCAATGATATTATGGACACTCACACATATGTTTGATTTTCACACAAATCTTCTAATAGCTAATGATCAAATTAAATGTCAGTAATTATGTATCAGTATCCTGTCTTTAAACAATTTTTAAGGAAACGATTAACATATATTGTAGAAATAAAGTATCACGTGAGAAAACGATTAATATCGTTTAGCAGAAGATGAGTCGTTTTTCTTCCGCTTTTCTTTCTTGTTTGACTAACAAGTAAAAAGGCACAAAAATTAGAAGAAAATTTTATGTTGAACGTAAAATCAGTTAATCGTGACCGATCGCTAACTCGATTTATGAATGATACTGGATTATTCATGTATAGTAAACTATTTCTTTCATTTCAACATAAGCAAAATACAATTTTTCATCGAACAGATGTACAAGATAAAATGAGCTTGAATTTATGACATACATATGTAGAATCTGGACAAATATCAGACAAAAAAATCTTCCACGAAAAGCACCGCTTTGCAAAATCGTCTATCAAAAATAATCGCATATTAATCGTCAAATTTTAATGATTGTTGATAAAATTGAATTACATCTCTTGGATAACACTCGTTAACAATTTTATTTGATATCCATATTCCGCGCTTTATTCCCCGTAATTTACAATGAAATTCCATTGATTCATCATCACATTGTCTTAAACCAAGTATTTTTTCTAAACGATGTTCACCATTTTTAAATGGATTATCTGTTTTTAAGGATGATTGATGATGAATACTTTTTTTGCAGTTATCGAACATGACAGATGATGATTCTATTTTCTGTTCTCTTATCGATGGTTGATGATCAGTCACTGGTGTAAGATGTTTTTGTCTTTGTTCATATTTTTCTATTAGCTTGTCACAATTTAAATGTTCAATTGGTTCCCATGTATTGTAGGCACTTGACCAGCCTTTCCATTTAAGTAAATATTGAATACGATCATTTT